CATAAATGCGTAAGTTATTTAATATTCATAAAGTAGATATGCAAACACCGCAGTTGTTGATTATAGAAATGATGGATATTAGATAACATCACATGATTCAACGGCATATTAGAAATAGATGAAAATTGTTTCTTTGCTCACTGTCAAGTGAACAGTCTATTTGACGATGTCACTGCATATTAACAGATTAGTGAAGTAGCTGTCAAGCCTAAGTCATTAAATTTACTTGTACTTCATACTTGGCGTTTAACAGTGTACAGAATTGCAACTGGCTAGATAAGGCGATTTTAGCGTATCGAACAGTACAGAATTATTATTCAACTTGCTAAATCCTACTTAGTTTTTACAATGTGCTACTGTATAGAAACAGACACGAAATCTTACGAAGGGCTAAAGTAACAGTCTCATAATACTATAGTAAATCTCCATCCCTCTAACTAAGCTTAACATGCATTGATCCGAATTCACTTATTACAAAAGCACATAGTATAGCGACGCACTGAAAAAGTCTAGAGGAAGTAGAATTGAAGAGTATATTAAACATTTCATTAATTTACAAAAGAAAATCCCGATGAAGAGTATTAACGTTAGTTTGTCCGGATGATATTTCCGCTGGTTTCATATTCGACAACTTCCGTATACCTGAAAAAAATAAAGCACATGTAAGGACTAGCACAACATGAAGTTATGAAAGATAATTCTACATATTAGCACACACTGAATACACTGATTCGGTTAATACTAAGTAATATCTCATGCAAATAAATGTATATGTAGTTTTCAGCTGGTTTTTATATTGGCACTATAAGCATCAATAGACCTCAAATGTTTTCCAGTATTAAAGGATTACACGCAAATATCAAGACAATCTTTGAAGCTTCCATACTGTTGAGGCGTCATACTCTCATTAACCTTAGTTGCAGATCAACTTCACACTGAATACGTTTACATTAAATGAAGTATTGCAAATGTGTAACTTAGAAATTGATCCATAATCTCAGTAATGTCTAATGAGCATAGTTTTATGAATCCTACAGAAATTACATTCTTATATTTAGGAATCTATAGCCATCAAATATAAGCTGAACATGCTTCAACTCTAAGCAACTATGCACAGTGTTAGCAGCATAGAGAAATACTTAAAATATTGTAAGATACGCAGACCTGTTGCGTTGATGAGGATAACAATGACATATAATGCAACCTAGACATTCGATCGTGACACTGCATCTGTACTGCTTCATGTTAATGGAAAATTCAGGAAAAATTCATCACCACTACTGGTGATCAAAAACAGTGCAGCATTAAGTTTACAGTGCCAGTGAGAATGGCATAACAGACAGTAGATTGATAGTAATAGAGCTGACTAGATTCAGTTCTCATAATCGACACAATCCATGTGTATAATGATACTATACACTGAATTAATGCACTAAGCGACACAGTAAGGAATTTAAACGAGTGATTGCCTTCTCCATGTCACTGCACTTGCAATAATCATGACAACCACCTACGTTTGCTAGCCAAGCAGTCAGCTAAGGAGACAATGGCACAATATAAATAAAGTTGAGGTATTTTTTATACATTGAGTCCACATAACTCATATTACACCACACTAAACAGTGCAAATATACATGAAATCCACTTAGAAATAACCTCTCAACTTACGATAATTCCTGTCCAAACACACACGGTGAGACACATCTACATGATTACTTCTATTCCCACAGAAGGTTCTGTTAGCATTTACAGGTGATTTCGAAGTACTGATAGAATTCTTTTGTCAAAAAGGACTGTTCTTCACACGTAAATAGGCTGAATTAATATCCTGAGACGTGAAGTCTCCATTGAGTGATACCATGACGAAAGGTGCAGCATCTAAATAAAGTAGATTATTTGTGTAGATGAAATTACCCTTCAACTATCCCATCTTTCTCACTATAGCGATATTTTGCTACAGTTCGCCTGAAACACTGATCGTTGCAACCAATATGCTAGGGGGTGTCGCAGTCAGATTACATGACGCGGACACCAAAATAACAGGCCAGAAAATGGGAATTCTCATCAATCCAGATAACATATAACGCAATTTCATTAAAAATTATTGACAAAAAAAAATTTCCAAGGGAAATTTTAACAGCGCTACTAGAACATGGCATTTAACGTCTACCGTACTACCTAAGAAACAATAAACTGCTACTAGTTCAAATGGAAAAGATGGAAACTTTCGTTTAACCTAAACGCAGAATGCAGTTCTGAGTTGATAAAATTAAGTCCATCATGCAATAAAATGTCCTAGGAGCGACACTATAACTGAAGATATTGTAAATTTCACCACGAAACAAACTGATATGGTATGGTTAACTGTAATTACAAGGGCTAATTCAGGCCATTCGATGAATCCGAGGCACCTTAAACCATACAGCGATGACAAGAAATAAATACCCAGATGTTTCCAATCCTCTACACTGCGACCGTTCCTTTTAACCTTTTCAAGGTCGTTGCGGGTTGTGACTTTTGACCGTGGGTTCTTTCATCCTGTTTACTAATATGCATTCCGAAGTTTTCTGAATTTCTTTTCTTAATGCTGTCGGTTGTAAACATGCTCAACAAGATGTCAGCATGTAGTCAACTAGATTCTTGTACTAAGTAATCCAATGTATCGACCCCATGGGGTCTGTATGAATGCATTAATTCATTACTCATTATCATTGTTGCGTTGTGTAATGTTTCGGTTCTTGATTCCAGCAGATTTGTCTTGTCAAGATGTAACAGCTGGCCTGATAGCGTAGTTTGGTGGGATGAGCAAGGGGTCATTTCTGGCTGGAGTTGAACTTCACCCACTCCTGTTATAGGACTCATGGGCCGTGGTAATCCACATCCTCTTATTTCTTGCAATTTATATCTCTGTAAGTGACCGACCAATCTTTGAGAGCACTCGCTGAAGGGGTAGAAATTCAGTTTTCAAAATCACTTCCACCCAAGCTTACAACAATTCTAAACTTATTCTAACCTATTCTTCGATAATGCCTTTTTATGGTAAATGAAGATTTTATCTACACACTATGTTCTGAAATGACGCTGGTCGTGCTTAAAAAGAGAGCTGGGTGCTAAATTAAGTCTTTTCGTTCTGAAGTAACGCTAGTACGCTCTGAATATGTCCTGTGAGGGCTGAAACAACGCTGATAAGCAAACGCAGTAGGTTCTGATCTACTCCTGAGAATGCCTAGAAAAAGAACACGGTGCTGAATTAGTGCCAGTCATGCTGAAAACCAGCACTGAGTTCTAGTCTGTGCCATTAAAGAATCCATTTCAGAACAGATTCAGAAGTTACTCACTATAGAACGTGAGAATTATTTCAGAATTAGTGAGATTTAATTTAGCATTATGGTAAGCTTGGGCATAACCCGTTCGGTTATCCTAATATTTTACGCATTTCTAGTAATATATATTACATTTTTACAGCAAAGGCTACACCGTGTAATCAGTATTCAGGTTGAAATATAATCTGGTGAGTAGTAAAGCGCCAACCTACCTAACCTTTTAAATAAGGTGGTCTTATGTATAACATTTCTCCATCGAATGGAGTATATACTTCATTTATCTGCCTTCAATTTCTTAGCCGTACAATAAGAATGACGCGTAATTGCGTCTACTTTACACGATGTTATCTTCACAGATGGCTAGTCCTAGTTAATGTTTCCCTTCGATAGAAATTTGTTGGTTCCAAGCTTGTCATGGTTAATGTAGCTTTCCAAATAAGCGTAACAGTTATCACTCTACGATTAAAGAACATTCGAAGCCAATAGATGAATGGATGAATCTGTAGAGTCTAAAATTTGTCTCTGACATTTATTCATCCTCTTAATGATAAAGGTCGTTTTACTTTTTTTTATCTTATCTACTACACATCTTTGTCTTATTTGAGAATTCTTTTGGATTACTCCTTTTATGTATTACTATGAACTTCATATACTTATTATGACAGATTGTCCTGCAAATATTATGGTAGTCGATGTGTTCGGTAACTAGTAATACAATAATACTGGTGATTTCCACATGCATTACATGGGTATTTGACGAACAGTTAGACTCTAAGTTGAGCATAAGTTAATGTAGTCAGTCGGCTAACTGCATAGTTGTTTTACAGCCGTTCCAAAAATGTGCATTTTTTCGGCTAAATACTTCATGAATTATCCATGGAGTTTATTAAAGTAAAAATGTATAGGATGATTCAGAACAAGATGCACTACCAATTCAAGTAACCAATAACATGTACCTTAGGCGTGATCTGAATTCTAGCCTATTCTGTGAAGATTTGATGAATAAAACCAATGGTATCAAAACTAGTTCAGAAATAGCTATTCAAAAAGTTTTCAGGTTAAATAGTAGTCTGCTACTTAAAGAAATGATTATAAGCGATATATTCATGACGATCGTGCCAAAAATTGTCCCTAGCAAGTGTGTTAAGTGCATGTGGTTACTTCAAGTTGTAACATCGAACCGACTTGTCAAATATTTGTTGTTACAGCTGTAGCGTTCAAATAGCCTGACTCAACTCAGTAGACATTTTCACGGAAACGCGTCATTTCAAGCTATTACATTTTATAAAATAAAACAAAAGAAGTATAATGAATCTCCAATAGTGGGATCTGAAAGATGATGGGGCGTAAACATCTTCACTGTTATAAACGGTTTCTAGTTGTAATACCAAAAGTTTCTAACTACTTGTTTCTAGTGTTGCGAAGACTCCGTAATCCCTTAAACGATTTTATGAGTTTGAATAAAATGCTTTAATTAGCATAATTAGCCTCCTAAGCAGTTGCGAAATTACCAGAACACCTCTCGGCCGTCTAACTCAACTGCTCTTATCGGAAAATATGACAAGTGATAGTCTGTTATATCTGCGTTCCAGGACCTAACAAGGGGTGAATGTTTGATCTATACACTGCCTTTCCTGTCTGAAACCTGCCAGATTCTTCCAGGCTTTTTTCCACATGTTCCGCTTAATATTCTTGTAATTATGGATCCTGAGCTTTTAAATATATTAGTCAACCTGTGTTTTTCATAGGGAGCTTCCTTTTTCCTAGAAACTGGGATGGTCAATCATCTACACCTTTCTGACTCTGGTACACTAACTAGTGCCGTAGTTGACTTAATTGATAACTTCTTACCACTATTCTCAAGCATTTCTGAAGTCAAACTGTCCTGTTCTGCTAAGTTTGAGACTAAGGACCGCTTCATTCAGAGTTGGAGAACTGATCTCTATACTCTGTTCCGACTCGGACTGGATGGTAGGCAACTGTAGTGCACCCATAGACCAGTTAGACTGCTCTTCAAAGCGTTATGCCCAGCGCTCCAGTCATCTGTCCTGGGAAGTTATCACTGTTCTATTCTTCCCGGTAGTTTTCTTACACAACACATTTACAGGATCCATTCCTTTTATGTGTCTAATTATTTGACGAGTATAACCTGGTGAAAATGTCTCCCTTTGGTTTGCTTTCGCCAACTGTCCGGGGTTACTGCAAAGATTTAGCTTGGGTTTGAACAGTTTTCGCTTCTCGTCACGATTTTGGAGTCTACCAGAATCGGTCTCCTTGCATCGATCAGAACGGGTGAGGCTATAGGGATACACTGTCGTTTGTTGACCTTTAACTGTAGGTTACCAGCTGTCCTCAAAATTTTCTACAGCAGACTGGATATAGTGTCAGTCTTTCTCAGGACAATTGAATTGGCACGGACGGAATATTTCAGCCTTTTATAATGCACATGTTTGGTAGAATTCTAATCCCAGATTTTGTCGGAAATTTTTCCTTTATTTAATTAAATAAGTCCAATATATGATTTTTTCAGTGACTCATTCTCAGTTCAGGTTACGCTAAATTAGATTAGTAATATGAGCAGGTGAACCACTTAAAACCACTCACGAATACACCGTTTTATGTGTAGTTACACGTTGCTAACTACTGTTTCTAGTACATGCTTCCAGTTACACAGTTTCCGTGTTAATATTTCCGCCAACTACTTCATTTGACTGATAGTAACTTTCTGTTTCATAAGTGTTTTTTGCACTATCAGTGTATACTGAATATGCATCCGATGACCCATCATTATGTTGTTGAATTTTTAACGAATCTACATTGTAAAGATGATTTCATATCTAGATCAGTTTAAATTTATCAAACTATATCTCCCTTATTTTTGTTTTGAGTCTAATATTTTCTATCATTTTAATTGTTTTGTCTTTACTATATGTAGGTAGGATTTAGTTGATTTGATCGGGCACACAAATACTATGGCTGTTTCAGTCCCTTGTTTAAAAGTAACTGTAGATGTTGAGGACTGTGGAGAATTACCCGATCAGAAAGAACAAATATCATTACCAGTGTACTGTCCGTGTCAGGTATGTACTCACTATATTATATTTGTTGTCATTTTCTTATATATTAGAGCGACTTTCATTGTATCCTCTTCTTTGTCATATTCCTAAGGATGTAACGTGTTAATTCCATACTTGACTGTTCTAATCAAAACTTGGAGTCAATGGTTTTGTTAAGAGACTATATAAGTAAACCAAAGTACAGTGTATGTTTAAAATATTCATGCACTTTGTACCAATTAACAAAAGTCACCTGTCTGTAAATCAGCAGGTTCACTTATGTCATTTACATAGATTGTCATGTAATGAGATCCCACATTTTTATACATGTGTAAATCACCCACACTGTGAATCTGTCCTTCACTAAGGTCGGTGCTGACTTTGCAACCTTTGTGACAGGATATGAAACCACAGTCCTGTCGAGATTTCGACACGCATCTAATATTGTTTAGCCTTCAGTGAACAGCAGTTGATCACAGCTCAGTAGTCAAATCTTAATCCAGTTATTACTGTTCTCGACTATCCGTATACATGAGTAGCTATTTTAATAGTATTAGGAGCACTTGCTTGATGATGTGCGTATTTGATGCAGGCAAACCGTTTAAGGTGAAGACAAACTAGTGTACCTTCGGTCTGCTGCCGTAACTTTTTGGCTTAGTGTTTGAAGTCTCATACCTCACTCAACTTACTATGGTTTACACAGTCAGACATTGTCATAGGTTTCGTGCTACCTGTGTCATTTATTGTCTTATGAGATGGTCTACAGGTGGCTTTTGTGCAGAAATACAATCTAACTGTTGTTTCTGTAATTAGTAAATGTGGTTTGCACTTGATTAAACAAATGTAATATTCATCTTTATCTGCATGAACTTTCTGGTCCGTTTAAATGCCAAGTGTCTGTGACTTGGAAAGTTCTCTTCAAGTTCTCCAGACTTCTTCAATCGATTTTATTGTCATAATGTTAGCTAAGTTTGTAGCAATTGCATTTGTTGACTGATTAACTGAGGTTCAGTATAGAACTTTGCACAGGAATGCAACAGTTCAAGTTGCCACACTCCATGCAGCAAACAAAAGTAAAAGAAGGGGATTCAAAAGAACTACAGTGAGCAGAAATGTACGGAAGAAAGAATAGTAACATGGAAAAACATGGGAATTTAACGGGTCTGTAAGATTATAAACATGAAGTCGACTTGAAATTATGGATCGCTAGTGCCTCAGCTATGGCCAGATACTTTGATCTCACTCCCTTTGAGAGGATTCACTGGATCTTGTATAGAACTTTTCAAATGGAGCTGATTTCACCAGATGTTCTGTTACAGAGCTATAGACAGCTACGTTCTCCCTTTGCTAGTGAGGGTAGATAGTGTTGCTAGGCACATTTTGCAAGTGGGCTCAGGTTACAGCCAATGTAATCATCTCCACAAGAGCAATTCAACCAGTATATGCATGTTAAAGTGTCCCATTGCAACAGCTTGTTTTTCACGTACTGGTCGAATAGTTTCTTGGAAGTTCATCTTACTCGTAGTCTGGTAGCGAAGTATGTTTTACTGAGAGATTTTGAAAGTCGTTTTCAGAGAATTTCTGCTTCAGTATCACTTTTAAATTCTAGATTAAACATCAACATCTTTTTGAAGGCGACCTGGACTTGTTCAGGAGCTTTCTTTGGTTTCAGTTTCTTGTCTATAAATCTTAGTGGGAAACCATTATCTATCAAGATTCCTCGGCGCATATTTTCCGTATCTTTGAGGGGAAAAAACAGATGAGATTTCTCTTTCTGCTTAGTGGGACACAACTTTGAAAATTGGTTAACTGTCCGTACCATATGCACTTATTGTAGATGGATATCTGCGAATTACCAACATTTCTTTGCAGAAAATGGGACATATAGTCTGATTCAACTTCCAGAGTGAAGTTGATGTTTGTGTAAGCATTACTGAAGGTTTGGAGTAGTTTTCCGAGATCCAGATTCTCATCACAAATAATCAAAGCAGCATCATCGATGTATCTCCTGTAGAAATGCTCATTTTGTTATTTGATGTTGAGGAACTGTTTTCCACGCTAGGCATAAAGTAGTCGGCGAAGAGGGATTCTAGAGGAGAACCCATTGCTACACCATTTATTTGCCTGTATATTTCGTTATTGAATCTAAAAGTAAACCTTGAAGGTGCATCAGAGCAACAGCTCCTTTAATTAATAAATCGGCATGTCGATATCGATGCTATTGGATTGAATGAAGTCACAAAAATACATAGTTTCTGTCCGTGCGAGAGGAAAAAAATGCAAAAGAACTTCAATGAGCAGAAATATACGAAGGAAAGAATAGTAACATGGCAATTTCATATTAATTTATTTATTAGATAAATCACATAGTGAAACAGTATTATTTACTGGACTACAAAGTTTCGAACACAATTTATTGTTCATAATCATATTAATTATAACTAGACGAGGATGTCAAATCGAGAATCGGGAAGACGAGAAACACATTCATCAACCTGGAACCAATCTGGAAATCTTCGTCACTCATCACCAACACCAAAATTTGGATTTTCAATACAAACGTCAAGTCAGTCAGTTCTTCTATACGGATCAGAAACTTGGTGGGTCACAAAGAATATTTCCAACAGCCTGTTGCAGACCTTTATCAACAGCTGTCTTCGTTCTATACTCAAGGTCAGATAGCCGGAAAGAATCACCAACAAGAAACTATGGGAACAAACAAAACAAGAACCAATCACCCAACAAATATACAAGAGAAAGTGGAGATGAATTGGACACTCGCTGAGGAGGCCCCTGGGTGACATCGCGCGTCAGGCCAATGCTCGAGTGGAACCCGAAAGGGAAGTGGCGAGTCAGACGTCCAAAGGTGGCATGGAGGAGGTCGTGTGAAGAGGAGTTGAAACAGTATGGATTAACATGGACGCAGGTGGAAAGTACAGCAGAAGACAGAAGCAAGTGGAGGCGTGCAGTTGAAGCCCTATGTTCCCCTAGGAACCCAAGGGAACATTAATAATAATAGACGACTTCGAAATTTTCATTTTATAGGTTCCTATAGAACACGGTTAGCATACGAAGACTTTTGTTCAAAATGTTCAGAATACTCTCTGTTTCTTCAGCGTCTTCACCTAGGAGGATAATATCATCCACATGCTCTAAATCGACGAGACTGTTCCCTGGTAACAAGTCAATCCATAAGTCGCTAAAAACAGTTAGTGTGTCACATCCGAAATATGAATCTGGAGTTTTAAATAGATTAACGGAACGATGTAATATGTAGTGTCATGCATATTGGTAAACTGTATCTGATTGCAAATGTAATATTATTGATTAAATAATTGTGTAATAAGTGATATCCTAATAATAATGTAGTTGTTGATGGTTGCAGCTTTGCTTACAAATTCTTGGCTAGTGTATATAATTATCAGCCTGTATTCTAATCATGATTGTGATACTTTCACTAAACAGTAATTTGAAATGGGTTTTTGTTTTTCTTCTGTTATCAGATCTCTTATTTAGTAAATTTAAAGTATTTTTTTATCATTTAATTTTTCAGTCGGAATATTGTAATTGTGGCTCTGAACTGGCTGTTACTCAGGCTTCTGCTATGAAAATCTACAAACATCTAGGTTTTCCAAAAGGAAGAGATGATATCGTAGAACAAGGTTATAGACCATGTGCTCTTCATATTTGGGGTACTCATAATCTTAGTACAGATGATGTCTTGTCTTGGCTATCTAGTTACAATCCAAAGACTATAGAATGGATTAATGATGCATCATGTAGGTTTTGTTGTTGATTTTGTTTTCTTTATGATGCTTATATTTCTTCAATTGTAAATTATACATAATCCTTGTGAACTATATTGTATAGAATTAGGTGTGATTGCTTGAACACTATTCAAGACAAATATTAACTTTTACTACATTTAGTTGTTTTGTTTTGTTTTCAATCCAGTTAGTTTGTTTACTTCATTTACCCCCCCCCCATTTTTTTCCTTCACGTCCCCAGTGGAACATAGGGCCTCAGGCTAGTGACTTGAAGTTTCTGTAGCAGTGTTTAATTTTTACAGGATGGGGTTGCTAGCCTCATGCCCAACCTTTCCTCTTTACCAGCATTATTTCTTGCTTAGCGAGCGAGGTAAAGGAGTGCGTTGGTGGCCGGGGATCGAACCCCGGACCATGTGCATGGTCGGCGAGTGTCCTAACCTCTATGCCACCGACACACACACCCATGATATGAATGAATTATCTTTAAAGCTTTTAAACCTTTTAACTACTCAAATGAATAGTTTTGGAATACATAAGTAAAATAAAGTATACTGATAATAGTGTATTTTAGTAAGACACCGTTGGTGAGTCTAGATCTCATCATTTTTTCCAGTCAGTAATTCTACGAACAGTTTCTTTCTTTTTATTAGTTTCTTTGAAACGAAATTAACATTACTTGTTAAAAAAAGGGTGTATCACAAAAGCAGTTTCAAAAACAATGGTTTACGTAATATTAAGAGTAGTTTGAAAAGCAGTTACATGGAGATACAGTGGAGTTTTGATATGATATGGTTGATAGTACAATTCCATTATGGGTAAAATTTATTTTGATAAACTCTTACAATGTTATACAGTAATATTTACTGACGACCACGTTTCGAGCACAATTTATTGCTGCTCATAATCATATCAAGGTACTCACCTTGATATGAGTGAGACTTTATCAAAATAAATTTTACCCATAATGAAATTATACTCTACCACAGTGCACAAGTTCTATTCTTATAACAATGGTTGATAGTAATCGGTAGGAAGCCGTGAAGTTAGGTTTCTAGCTTGCTGGCACTCGTCAGCAAGATGTATCCACAATCTCGAGGGAAGTGATGCAAATGTGCCTTGTTGACGAGTGCAAAGAAGCACAAAATCTAGGCACAGGTCTTCCTGTCGATTACCTCCAACTAATTAGTACCAATTCAAAGTACACCGTGATGGTGAGTCGCCTAGCTTAGTGACATTAGTTAGTCCCCGATGACTAATCAACGTACATTAGAGTTTTACTTGTTTCACTACAAACGTGGTTGAAATAGTTCCTTATCCTCTTCTTTAGAGTTATCTAACAATGTCAGTCAAAGATGCTATAGGCTTTATTTGATTTTATCTGTAGATGAGCTATTAGGTGTGTCGCTGTTTTACTTCTGTGTTTTAGGAAACTTACTTACTTACCAATAAGAGAACTACTTTGCTTAGGATACTCAAATGATATAGTCCTTTTAGGCTAAGACGTTGGAAAAATGTAGTCTTCTGTACACCCTGAGTAGAAATTTGAGTGTTTGCTCTCATCAAATATAGTATGGCAGTACAGCACTGACTTGCACTAACTTCTAACTTAAGCATAGGTAGTGAAGTGCTTGAATACGTTGACCACTTTACTAATTGGTTGCTGATGAAATCTCGTTGGACATTTTTGAACTGACATCGTCTTTAGCATAGATAGACTTGGCATCCGGCTGTTCAAAAGAAAGTGTGTGTACTGCACAGCATTCCGTTCCATCCTACTCTGTCGCTAAGACCGTTGTTTTAGGTACCAGTGTATGAGATTATATTTTTTGACCATTGGTGTCTTCGTGCATTTGCTCCTGTTAAGCGTAGTAGTAATAGTAATATGGCTGAATGTAGCGTTAAGCAACTTAAATAAGTCGATGGAAAGGCTTATAAAGCTCTGGGGGATTAAAGTTGTTAGAACACATGTTACCTATAACGAACCACCGTCTTCCTAACGATCACTGTCGGCTGAAGTATAATTAGATTTCATAATATTTCAAAGTCATATCAAAACATATCAACGGTCCATAAAATCATTGACTGTTTGTAGTATAAGTTGTCTGGTCGGCGTTCTCAGGGAACTAATAACTAATGGTTTAAGACTGTTATTGTTAGTATAACTTAAAACCGTTCCCAATAATGCAGATGCATTCACTCCTTTTTTTTATTTTCCAAATTCAGAAAATCTTCACTATAATTCCCATTTAATTATTCTCTCCGTATTTCTGTTCCCTTATTGTCTATAATTTCCCTAAGCATAGAAATTTGAACTGATACACACTTTTATGCGGAATTTTACACTGATTCGTTAGTCAGGATGTCATGTAGAAAACTAATAGTCGACCAGCTTTTTAAAGGGTTGATTAGGCTTTGATAATCTACTTTCCTATCTGATTATCTGCCATACATATTATGGTTTGTAAAACAGAGAACGGTTAATTCCATTTCCTTATTAGGATAGAACTTATAATTTCGCTATTCACGGACGTGCAATGTGTCAAAGGCATGTACTGTTTTTTGGCTTTGTGAAGCGTGCAGTTTTATTTGATAAACTCCAGAGAAAGAGAGAGGGAGAGATGGTATCAATGAATTGTGAAATGAAATTATAGTGCTAGACACAGATGTTGCTGGTAATTAACAGTTGTAATAAGGGTAAGTTTTCCCATGAAATGTCTGATTTGTTGTTGTATCCCAATTGTAGCAGAGCTGCTTGTTTAATTATCCAAGAATGATAGTTCAGTTAAGTTCACTGTAAACCTCAGATAAGTTGGACTTGTGAGGGCAGTTACAACGGTATTTATTCTAAAATTATTATTATTATTGTTTCCTTTAATTCCTAGAGCAACATAGGGCTTCAGCCGTGCGTCTCCATTGCGTTCGGTTCTCTGCTAGAGTCTTCACCTGGCTCCAAGTCTGCCCACACGTTTTCATCTTCTCTTCACATGACTTCCTCTAAGTCACCCTTGGACTCGCCGCTTCCCTTTCGGGTTCTACTCGAGGGCTTGTCTAGTGATGTCACTTGGTGGTTTCCTCAGAGTATGGCCAATCCATCTCCATTTCTTCCTGCCTATTTGTTTCACAATCGGTTCCTGGTTGGTTCGCTCATTGCCAGAGATCTCTGTTGCTGATCTTTTCTGGCCGGCCATCTGATCTTGAGTATTGAGCGAAGACAACTGTTAATGAAAGTCTGTAGTTTGTTTGAGATGCACTGTGGTGAGAGCTGGCTGCCAGCCAAAATTGGTAGACAGTAATTTACGTCAATGCTTGCGTCCCCAATATTGGTCATGAGAAAAATAAGAACAAAGACTGACTCAACAACCAATCACAACAGACTTTGCGTAGGCGGATACAATTTGCAGATAGATAATCTGAACTTCAAGGTGAAGGATTAACGTTCAGCAAGAAGCCACTAATCAGAAGACTATGTTTGTCTGCTAACAATAATCTATAATAATGTATATGAAAATCTATAAATATGTGTTGATTTCCTTAATCGACGATCTGTTGCCTGACTCTTGCCTTCTGTCGTTACATCACTTTTCATATTCATCTCCAATGGGTTTTATGCTATGTGAATTTTTTTCATAGTTTGGGTCCTCATTTCAGTCACTATCACTTCTGATGCAGTTTCTTAATTGTGATTTACTTTAGGCTGACTGTGTAGAGCTGAAAGAAATTCTAGTTTTAAAATAAATTTCACACGAAGCTCTAGTGAAAAATGTTGACTAATGACGTCTATCGAGTTAATTGTCATTGCAATCATTCATTCGTTGGTCATTCTGGATGACAGTAGCACCAACCGCTCTGTCGCGTATCGACAGAAGTCAAAAATCATATCCCGCTAGTAGCATGCTTGTTGTGATTGTTAGTTCTATAGACTACTGAGTAGATCCCAAACAAGAACAAAACAGTTAGTCAGTATTCATTAACTTCTCGTTGTTAAATCTGAATTGAGACGAGAATCTATCTTCTGCCGCCCTCTTTCAAAAATCCTCCGTGATTTTTGTTTCATTGAATTCGAGTCTGTGGTCAGTACCTTGGTATATCGTCTACTTCCGTAAAATAATGGGTATCGTATAGAGTATATGAACAAAGAGTCACTCACCTGAAGTTGTTATTCTAGCGCATATTTAATTTGGCTCATTACCAAATGGAAATTGTCAAAAGAATGGATACTGAACATAGAGTACTCTTTTCGATAAATTCATCATCAGGCTCTACAAATATATATATTATAATGAATGAATAAATTAGTGTTATAAACAACATTAATGTTGTTTAAATAAAATCGAATCAATAATATTGATAGATTACAGCCCACTAGCATCAACATAAAAGAAGCTGAATGTCAGAAAAATTAGGAAAGATAATATTACAAATTCATGAATTTATAGTCTCTATTGAAGGCCGGCCGGAGCAGTAGTAGTGCCTGGACTTGCTTCTTTTGAACACAAAGCACTGGTTGCTTGAGGTGAATTGCAATAGCCTCTGCTGTTTGGAGCATTCGGTGCTTCGATGATTTTGGCAATTTATTAGGCACCCGGTATATTATAGAGAAGGATTCTTCTACGCTGGCTTTGTGACCGGTTTGCACCAGATGGTCTAATATCAAGCTGTTAGTAGTTTTAACTACACCTTTACTTAGCCATAGTGGGATATGTTCTCGAGCACGAAAACTCATGAATTTGTAATATTATCTTCCCTAATTTTTCTGACATTCAGCTTATTTTATGTTGATGCTATTCAGCTGTAATCTATCAATATTATTGATTCGATGTTATTTAAACAACACTAATGTTGTTCATAGCACTAATTAATTCATTCATTCACTATAATGTATATATAACTGTAGAGCCTGATGATGAAGCTATCGAAAAGAGTACTCTTTGTTCAGTATCCATTCTTTTGAAAATTTTAAGGGGCATTTTTAATCAGTTAAAATGGAAATTTGTTTCTTGTCAGTTGCATAGATTATTTATCCATATTATTATCAATATACTTCTGTCGTTTATCATGTTATTTTCCTTTGTAACTATATTCTCTTTTTTTATAAGGTAATGTGGTGTTTGAAGATGAAAATAGTGTTCTACGAGCAATATCCGATTCTGCAGAACCGTTTGATCGCCGAGTTGCTCTAGCCGCTGCGGCTGCTTTAGCCTTACTTTTAGAGAAAAGCGATGAGAGTAATGATAACAGTTTAAGTCAGTCAGAAAATTCAGATGAAAAATCCGCGGACAATAAATCCCTCACTGTATCAAATGAAACAATGGATTCTATTGAGCAGTTTTCACAACACTTGCCTCCAACTGGTCGATGGTATAAAGCTTTATCAGTTCCGCCTCAAACGATATCGCTGTTCTTGAGATTTCCACATAAAAGTAAGTAGGTATTTTATTGTAATTGACTATTTCCTAGGCATATATTCTAAAATATGTTGTTATTAATTTGCAGTGAATATTCAACTGTCTTATAATATTTAAATTATTTTGGTGTGTAGTACCCTTTTACAATGTAAATGATTACGTAGTACTGAATGTTTTACATTTTAAAGTCACTTTGAAATGTCGTCAACAGGTAATTGTAGTTCTGTCAACTTTGTATGTACTAGAATATTAAATATGACTCAGTTGTGACGAAAGAAATTTCACTATCATACACCTAGAAATGATCATTCTCAGCCTTATATTATTATTATTATTATTATTATTATTGTTCCCTTCAACTGCACGTCTCCACTTGTTTCTGTCTTCTGCTGTACTTTTCACCAGCATCCATATTAGTCCATACTGTTTCAACTCCTCTTCACACAATCTCCTCCATGTCACCCTTGGAAGTCCCACTACTAGCCGCTTCCCTTTCGGGTTCCACTCGAGCACTGGCCTGACGCGCGATGTCACCCAGCGGCTTCCTCAGCGAGTGTCCAATCCATCTCCACTTTCTCCTGCATATTTGTTGTTCGTTCCCATAGTTTCTTGTTGGTGATTCTTTCCGGCCATCTGATCTTCAGAATCCACGTCCCCATCCTTATTTTTGCTTTCATTGAAAGGCGGCACATCGGCTGACTGGCTTCCCGAAGGCTTTCACCAACCTGCGTCATTTCACTTCCCCGATTCCAGCGAAAAATAAGGTTATTATTTATATTTTTAGTATTTTTAATATATTTATGCGTTGAAGTTTCTGTAGCAATTTGGTTAAGTTTTAGGGATGGAGTTGCTAGCACCACGCCCCAACCCTCCCTCTTTATCCGGGACCGGCTAGAAAACTAGCGAGCTAGTAATCTAGGCGAGGTTTTAGTCTTATATGAATTCACAATAATACTGATTCTAACTCCATTATAGATAAGATTTTATTTTGATAGATCACACAGTGTTGTACAATAATATTAACTGATGACGTTTCGAGCACAAACTATTGCTCATAATCATATCACGTTACTCACACAACTTTTTGCTTCATCTCTATACATGAGTAAAACTGATTAGACATTTGAATAAAAATCAATATATACTGAATCCTGGTTCATCGAGTCTACACACAACACATGCAACAGAAATGACTCAACGCAAATACCAGAGATTTGGAAGATATTATTACCACCAGTCAGTCAAATCATTGGAGGATAATAAGTAATCTTAAAATTCTATTTCAATTCACTCACGTACATCATAACATTCTGACAAGTTACTTATTTTAACTATAAAAACATCTTATTTCCCATCTGATTGCATTTGATTGGTAACACTAATATTATTTCCAAAGATACTTTATCTTAAATTGATTTTATTCAAATGTTTAATCAATTTTACTCATGTATAGAAATGAAGCAAAAAGTTGTGAGTGACGTGATATGATTATGAGCAATAATTTGTGCTCGAAACGTCATCAGTTAATATTACTATACAACACTGTGTGATTTATCAAAGTAAAATCTTGTCTATAATGGAGTTATACTCTACCACCACAGTGCCCAAGTCTTATACTTATATCAATAATACTGATTATTTCATCTCAGCGGTATGATTTTTTAAAAAGTATTTAATTTTTCACCGATATGGTCGAGCAGTACCACAAAAAAAAACAGTTTTCGAATCCCACACGTCATGTAATGAAGAAAAAGGTTTCACCTAGTATGCAATATTTTTGCTCATTATTCGCCAGCTGTGTGTTATATCAGATGGTAAACTTTCACACTCAGAAAATTCTTTAGTATTCCCCGAGCTTTTATATTTGCCTGTGGACATTTCGTCATCAGGCTTAGTGACATCTTCATTAATGATGTCAGTACCGAAAATTCCACCAAGCCTTCTGATTAAACATCATCCATCAAATATGAAAGCTTAGAAAACGCCAAACAGCATAAATCCTCATCATGAGTTACAAGTCTCTTTTTTATTGTTTCAAACACCTCATTCTTGTAAACGTTAAACTAAATAATTCAGAATTGAATACCTATATTTTTTTATTCCTTCACGTTCCCAGTGGAACAAGCTAGAAGCTTGAAGTTTCGGTAGCAGTGGTGTTTATTTCTACAGAATGGGGTTGCTAGCCTCATGCCCAGTCTCCTCTCTTTACAAGCCTTATTACTAGCTTAGCGAGGTAAAGGAGTGCGTCGGTGACCGGGGATCGAACCCCGAACCACATGAGGCGTGGCTGGCGAGCATTCTGCCGCTATACCACCTATATTACAAGAGTTTAATTTGTCACGCTCCTACAACACAATATAATTCTCTTTAGCACTGAATCTTTTCCCAGAGAGTTGAACCTGAGCATTGTGTGGTAGCGCATAACAGAATAAAATTATTATTAAGTTGTAACTAGAAAATAGTGTGTGTGTGTATGGAAGTTAAATTTGTGCCAGCAAATCAACCTATATTTACTTTCTCATTGAGGTGGTATCTGCAATTTATATTATTATGATTATTGTTCCCTTGGGTTCCTAGTGGAACATAGGGCTCCAACTGCACGTCTCCACTTGCTTCTGTCTTCTGCCGTACTTTTCACCTGCATCCATGTTAGTCCATACTGTTTCAACTCCTCTTCACACGATCTCATCCATGTCACCCTTGCACTGACGTCCCACTCGCCGCTTCCCTTTCGGGTTCCACTCGAGCGTTGGCCTGACGCGCGATGTCACCCAGCGGCCTCCTCAGCGAGTGTCCAATCCATCTCCACTTTCTCCTGCATATTTGTTGAGCGATTGGTTCTTGTTTTGTTTGTTCCCATAGTTTCTTGTTGGTAATTCTTTCCGGCAATTAAATCTTGTTTATTTTATCTATTCAGCGACTAACTATTATTTCTGGTTGATTGGTATTTAAACAAGGCGTATACGAAACAATACGTACAAATGAAACACGATTTTTGTTTCCTTATTATATTTGCATAATTCTCTATGGTTTTAAAGTTTCTCTTGTTGTATTGTCTTTCAGCTGATGTAAAACTTCCCGGTGCAGAACGGCGAAGTTTATACTATCGTCGTTTTGGTAATCCTAATTACGGTGGAATGACTGGTATTCTAACGCGTTCATATAGACGACGTGTTCGTATCTCTCGAATAAAATCAAGCAATGATCCAAATGGAGATTCTCGTCATATAGAAAGTTTGTCTGCACAATTCGCTGAATTAGTTGCTAATGCCTATGATGATCCTGATGCAGTTATAAATCAAATTAGTAGTAATAAAAATAACTACAATATATGGAATTCAGTTGCTCAAGCACCTCCACCTGAACGTCAATTAATTGTTTATGATAATCTCTATGATGAATCAGACTTACAGAGTCGTCCTACAGCATCGTCTAAATATCCTACAAAATTCAATACAAGACAACGTCGAAATGCCAGTGGTATGACATTACCTCACTTATTGTTATTGTTGTTTTTTGTAATTTTCTTTATAATGATAATAATATTGTTGACATTTTTTCTACAAAAATTGTTAATGTTTCGGCTTGGTTATCTCAAAGTTTCTCATTATGTGACCAATACGAGGTCAATAAGACAATGTATTCATTTGATTTAACATCCTGGCGTGTAAGACTTGATCGACTGGCTTCAATGTAGAATTTTACTTACTTACTTTACTTCGGCTATCTCCTACGGGAGGATGAGCCGGCTTCATGAACATCTCGAATCATCACTGCCCAGGCGCGGCGATCTGATGCAAGAGAGTTCGTGAAGTTTCATGGGAATTTGGTACGAGTGATGTCCCCAGAATCGCTCGGCCGTTTGTTTGAGAGTGCAGCTCTAGCCTTTACACAACCAAGTGTGACCTACAAGGCAGTAGGAGTGGAGTAGGGAGTCCACTATCCATTGGCAGCCGGTGACCGGAGTTCGGTTCATACGCCTTTTCGAATGGAGCCAGACATCCAGGGCATCCAACAAGCCCTTTGTGCACACGTCTGCCGGTGAGCTCCAGTGAGCTTCATACGCCAGTCGTTGGAGGTTTGGAATCAGGGTTTAGCCATCTCCCCTAGACTGTAATCCAATGGACAGTCAACCCGGTGAAGAGCGCCGGGCATCCGCTTTCGCCCTCTCACTTTGGTGAAAAACACCTCCGCCACGTGAAGGCAGTGAGTAGGACTTCCTCAGGAGAGGCTATGTAAGACGCCCGGTTATATGGGAGCATTTTAAGAGGTGTGTGGAGGGGTGGCCAACCCGCAGCGCAAGGCACCCACCCCCGACCATCCTGAGGCTTTGGAGGCAATGTAGAATTTTGCACTAATGTGTAGCAATTCGAGTTGCACACTCCATGTAGCACACAAAGTAAGATAAGAGAGTAAAAAGAGAGATAATAAACAGAAGTGGGAAAGGAAAAAAGAATAGTAATATGGAAGAGCAATAGAGCTTTATTGGATATTGTAAATCACAAAGAGTGAATGCATCTGTGTCATTGAGAACGATTTTGAGCCATATCACTAATTGTCTCTAGGCATTGGTTTCTACTATCTGGAGGACCCCAACCAGACTCGCAGTCTACACCTCCCTACGTGGCTGACTTAAACTAACTGTTGTGGATTTCATTGACTGGTGGCATGTTTTGGTCTGACAGCCGCTAGCTCTTTTCCAACCTGATCTTATGTAAGCTAACATCGCTCGTCGAGGAAGACGATGGCTAGGCATGTGCTAACCATCTCAACCGGTGTAACTTCACAACCTCGTTGATTGATTTCCCCTCTTTATCTAGCACTCGACGCCTAACCTCAATATTGCTCACCTTATTATACCACCTAGCATGGGAGATAGAACGCAGACACCTATGGTCAAAGACAGCTAGCATAAGACTTGGAATGAATATTACTGTGTGGAATTAAAAACTGGATTTGATAGTTTTATTTGAATAATGCAGTGATTTGATTAGTCTGGAGTAATAGATGTGGTTTCTACAGTTAGTCTCAATAAAATACTGCTATTTTAGGTATCCGGTGTTCCGAGCTTCATGAATGTGAGATTTTGTAATTGACTCCTCTCTGTTTGAAGTAGACAATATTTCTTGGCTAACTTATCGTAAGACACTAGTGTTTACTGTTTCTAAGTTGTTTCATACGTGTTACTCACTTTCTGGATACAAAATTTCACCTTCGGAATTGTTTGTAGCTATACTGTGTTGTTATATTAGGATGCGAAGTGGTTGAAAAGTGTGTCAACCACTTCAGAGTTACCTTGTAAGTAGCGCTGGTTCCTAATATTTTTTTCTATTCCTTTGCTGCATTCCAAGTGAAGCGTAGGACTTCAAGCTTCAGCTACCACTGAATACTGCCTCCTAGTGTGTGTGGCTGGCTGGCTGGATTCAACATAGAACTTGACACCGAAGTGCAGCAGTTCGAGTTGCCACGTTCCAAATAGCACACAAAGGTAGACAAGAAAATGAGTGAAGAGAATCAATAGAGTTTTGACAAGTATAAGAGTGAAACAGAATGAGTAATGTTAGAAAGGAATATGAAAGATTACAGAGACTGAGTACATCTGCGTAAGCCATTGACAACGATTTTGAGCCATGTCACCTATAGTCTCCAGCCATTGATTCTTAGAGTCCCGAGGCGAGGGCCCCAACCCGGAAGTCTGCATCTCCCTACCTGACTCAGTTTAACTGTCAGGGATTTCATGGATTGATGCCATGTTTTTGTTTGGCCACCACTTAGTCTTTTCGAACTTGCACCTATATCAGCTAGTAATGCCCGTTGGGGGAGGCGATGGTTAGGCATGCGCAGCACGTGACCAGTTTGTGTGTGTGTGTACAATACTACTTGTGTTGTTGTGAAACACCTATGCAATTCTTGCGCTTTGATAGTTTTCATTTCTAATAGGTTGTGAATGTTCTCCCAATTTTCTTTGTTATCCGAATTTAAATTTTAATGTATGGAATTTTTCACCCTAATGTAAGCATTATGTATGTATAGTATATATATCTGGTGGAGGGATGCTTTCTGCGACTTCCATTTCAAAACTGACGATTTATTAATCATTAAAAATCATGCTTGGAAAGCAGTTAACATCCCCAAATGCTGTCTACTGCATAATATGTATATTCATCTACCTATGTGAAAAATGTTGTTTTTTTATTATTTTAGAATTTCCTGTGCCTAAATCTTCAAGACAACCTCGTAAATGGCCCCGTCGAGATCGTGGTCCAATACCAAATCGTTGGGTCAGTAATGATGGTGATGATGAAGAAGACGATGATGACATATTTGAGACTCCAGAACCTGGAACAATAGTAATCCTCGATCCACGAGAACCATGGGGGAGTACACTGTCTGGTGATCCTAAACCTGTTATGTATTCAAGTAGTCGCAATCACATTAGATCGAATAATCGTCATTATCATCCCCGTGGCATTGCAACAGTCACTTTAATGCCTGATTCCGATGGAGATAATGAAATCAATTCAGGGGAGTCGGAAAATACTTTTGGTACTAGACGTTTATTGTCTTCAATGAGTATGGTAGCAGACATGGAATCTCATCAAACAAAACCACGGTACTTTCATTATTTGAGTAGTTTAATTTTTCTGGTTTAAAATTTCTAGTTATGTTTTGGTGATATTAAAAACCTGATATTGTTAGTTTTGTTTTTTTGGTCATCGTCTTTCACACATTTGATTCCACCTTAGTGAATTGTTGCAGGAATCACTGTTACTGGTTAGAAGACGTATTTTCAGGTAAATTAAAAGATATTTTTTTGGCGCTGATGCGAATTCCTTCCCAAAGCGACCATGCAGTCCAATAAGAAACTCCGTAAAGCTTACAAGAATTATCTTAATATACTACTGTGTTGTAAGTAGTATATGAAGCAGCCTTTTCAGAAGAGTAATTAGAATTTCTGTGTACACGGAAAAACCGTTACAAACGAATTGCGAAAGGGTGAATTGAATAACTAACTGATTGTTAGTGAAGAACGAAACATCTGTGATACAGAATAGCTGAAATTGTAACAACAGAAGACAAAGGCCAGGCAACAGATCGTTTATTAATGAAAATCAACACATATGTACAGACTTGAACAAAGCAAGAACAACAATTGTACCAGGATAATATGAGCTCATCTTTTATTATTTCGAGGATTCTTCTCAACTGGTTACAACCTGAACGATAAAAAATATGAATTACATTACATTAAAGATTTGAACATACTTTTCCACGATCACAAGGAGTAATTGGTAGGAAGTAAAAGTAACATTAATCCGGAATGATTTAACTAATTAAGAGTTACAAACACTGACTATTTATAGAATAATTCAAATGAACTGTGATCAATATTTGACGGTTTATAAATATTTATAGAATAATTAGGCAATAAGGCTTGGAAACAAAAACAGAGTTGCATATATATATGTGTGTGTATAGAAACAAAGTTGTATATTTTGTTGTCACCAGGGCAGTGCAAGATTCACCACTGTCTCTTTCTACGTACATAGATTTGGTTTAAGTCGTCTGACAGCAATTGCTTCAGCAAAGCGTAGCAAGTAAGGTTTCTTTTGCTTGTTGATCATTTTGAATGACTTCAAGTTGTCTACATTATGACCAGTGTCTAATAGATGACGCGCAATTGCACTGTTTAATACTTGTGGACCTTTCAGTCTCAGGTTCTTTGGTATATGTTCAGAAATGCGGACAATAACCCTTCTCTCTGTTCTTCCGATGTATGTGCTTTGGCACGTTACATGTAAATTGGTAGACACAGTAGGAAGCAGATTTTAATGTACATTACTGTAGATTATTGTTAGTAGAAAATACAGTCTTTTGATTGGTTGTTTCCCACAGAAAGTTAACCTTGCATCTCTTTGTGGCTGTGTCAGATCATCCATATGCTAACTGTATCCGCCTACGCAAAGCCTTTGTTCTCATTTTCTCACCACCAATATTGGGGACATGAACATTGACGTCAATTACTGTGTACCAACTTTGGCTAGCAGCCAGCTCTCACTACAAAATTACTTACAATTAATTGGAATGAATGCAATGGTTTACCATTATTTTGTTAATATCCAATGCAATTTGTCATAATCAATATTAAATATGCCTTCATACTATATTCATTCTTCTTCTTTGTTTTTACCCTTCTTTATTAAGATCTGTTTCGGAACGACTTGGTATACCTGGAAATCGTGCAATTAAATCACGCAAACCAAATGTTTGGCAACGTTTAGGCTAAATTTTTTATTCTGTTAGCTGCGCTTTATAATATTTCTTGGTAAATATTACTCTTTCGTATAGCGCGCGCTGTACTGCAACTGCTTTTATGCTCTTCATTTTTATTTTATTTTCAACATAACTGTATATATATATTCAAGATAACCTTTTTTGCCTTTACTGAATTTCACTTACACTTATGATAGATAACCAATTGCTTGTATACAAATGTTTGATTTGTAAATATTAAGAGTAAGATAGATTTATCCGCTTTAACAGTCATTTTTGTTCTCTCTTGTAATATCGCTGTTATATGACACAATGATTAGTAGTCATTAACTTATTAAGGAGGATAGACTACACTTTTGTGAATACCATTAATATTCAAGTATTGGTTATGTAGGGATTTTGTTTGATTGGATGGAGGATTTCATCATGAGCTGACATCAGTTAGAGAACCATTGGAAAACCTGCAGGGAGTACTGGACAACTGTTTCATCAGCCTAGTTTGAGACTGGCCCTTCAGCAGTACGCACCCATCGGGGTTCAAACACAGGACCTTCTGGTTACAAGATGAGCTAGCTCGTAGACCATTAAGCCACTGGGACCCTATCCAATGCCCTTGAATTCTACTTCGTGAATTGGTAGAAGGTCCTGGATTCGCACCCCGGTGGGTGTGTATTGCTGAAGAGTCCCAAACTAGGACGAAACTGCTGTCCAATACTCCCTGGTGGTTTCCTAACTGATTTCAGCTCATGATGAAATCCTCCATTCAATACCATTAATAATTGAATAAGAAATGCAAGATATGTATAGATATGAATTTGAGTAGTCACTGTAAGTACCACCTATCATCTCAAATACAGAACAAAGTTTCTTATTTCTATTAATTTTTTATGAGACTAAATAACATGGTCATCTGTTTAGGAGTGATTCTAGTTGTCAAAAGAGTTCAACTTAAATATTATATTTTACATAGTGCGTCGGTGGCACAGCGGTTAAGACGCTCGCCGACCATGCACATGGTCTTGGGTTCGATCCCCGGCCGACGCATCCCTTTACCTTGCTAAGCCAGTAATATAACTGGCAAAGAAGGAAGGTTGGTCATGGGACTAGCAACCTCATCCTTTAAAAATAAACACTGCTACAGAAACTTGAAGCCCTATGTTCCACTGGGAACGTGAAGGAATAAAAAATATATATAGGTATTAGCAACTTCATTTTGAAGATCACATTCAATGCAAGATCCTAAATTCATGTGTATACTTCATAGTCAGTCAGGTTGTAACAACAGAAGACAAGGGCCAGGCAACAGATCGTTTGTTAAGGAAAATCAACACAGATTTATAGAATTTAATGTACCTTATTGTAGATTATTGTTAGTAGAAAATACAGTCTTTTGATTGGTTGTTTCTCACAGAAAGTTAACCTTGCATCTCTTTTGTGGCTGTGTCAGATCATCCATATGCTAACTGTATCCGCCTACGCAAAGCCTTTGTTCTCATTTTCTCACCACCAATATTGTGGACATAAACATTGACGTCAATTACTGTGTACCAACTTTGGCTAGCAGCCAGCTCTCACCACAAGGTGACTGCTTTCGAGACTCATTGTTACTCCTATTAAATTTACTCATAATCACTATATTCACTGAGATAATCGTTTTCATCTTTCGACTTAAAGGATATATGGTGCGCATATTTTCTGCCTAGAGCTTCAGGGTTTGGGGTTTATCTATCGTAGTCCGAATGTTGAAGTCAGTGCTGAAGGTGGTCTCTAGAAAGACAATAAAGCCTCCGCAACTGAACCATTCTAGCTCAGACAGCACAACCATACTGACATTAATCAATCTAAAACATGGCCTATTAGAAGATGAATATTGTGACCTTGGTGTAGGTGTGGTTGTTTGCACTGACACAACGGTCCTTAGAAAAAGGAAAGCATAAGCGTAGATGGGAATGTGGTAAGCAAACCTGGAACTTAAGGATAGTTAATTATAAGAAGGATTCGTAACAGAAGTGCGGCTGTTTTAATAGATGGTCCAGCCTTTGGTCACACTAAAAACAAATACAGATGATTGAGGCGTTCATGGTTGTTGTCACAAGCGTGTATTCACCACACTGTTGATCACTCTTCATATTTCGTCGATCGATTCACTGAAACCCATACAATTTCAGTGGGGAGATTCTTGAAACATCTTAAGAGCAGGATTTAAGCAATAAATGGATCGCGAAAGAACATAATATGTAGCCATCTTGATGTATTTATGCAGTCTAATTCATCTCATCTGTAGTAGATGAAATAATAGAATAAAGAGATATAGAAACAATACAACTCGTGAAAAATAGCTAAAGTTGATACTGAAACATTTTATCAGGATTCAGATGAATATAAGGTATCTATGTGTGTGTACCATCACTGTGAACTCAGCTATGTTATGTAAGATATTACATATTTCTTGACCTAAAGGCAGCATTCGATTCTGTCGACCGAGAGGTACTCTGGCTATGTTTGGCTGTTAAGGGAATGCCGAGAAAATACATCGCACTGATCAAGGGACTCTACTCGAACTCATGCAACTAGGTGAGAGCCTACGGAGAGTTGTCATCTGAAGTGGTATCCGTCAGGGAGACCCACTGTCCCCATTTCTGATTAATTTCATCATAGATGTACTAATGGACTTAACCGCAACTGACTTCAGCGACTTAGGGGTTGACTTGTTAACACAGTATAATCTTGTTGACTTGAAATGTGTGGATGATATAATCCTTCTAGGTGAAGACGCTGACAAAATGCAGAGTCTTCTGAACGCCTTGAGCTGCAATCTGCGAATGTTTGGCATGCGATTCGCTCCCGCCAAATGTAAGATGTTGTTACAGGATTGGACTACATTGACTCCTAGCTTAGATATAGGGAGTGAAGTGGTAGAGCGTGTTGTCCACTTCACTTATTTGGGAAGTTGCATCAGTCAACGCCAGAGGGTTGATCGCTGACGAAATCTCAGCACGGATACAGAAGGCTCGTTTCGCATATGCCAGTTTACGCCGTCTCTAGCGTAGACGTGATATCCGGCTATCGACTAAAGGGTGTGTGTACTGCTCAGCAGTCCGCTTCGTCCTCCTTTATGGCTGGCTGTGAGTGACACATGGCCATTGAAAGTGGAAGACATGAAAAGGCCAGCTAGCTGTCTTTGATCATAGGTGTCTGCGTTCCATCTCCCGTGTGAAATGGAATAGTAGGGGAAGCAACAGTGAGGTTAGGCGTCGAGTGCTGGGTAGGGAGGGGAAATCAATAGACGAGGTTGTGAAGCTACATCGACTGAGATGGTTAGGACATGTGTTACGTATGCCTAGTCATAGCCTTCCTCTACGGGCAATGTTAGCTGACATAGGGTTAGGCTGGGAAAGAGCTAGCGGTGGTCAAACCAAAACATGCCACCAGTCAATGAAATCCACAACAGTTAGTTTAAGCCACGTAGGAAGATGTAGACTTCCCGGCTGGGGTCCTCGGGACTGTGAAAGCCAAAATCTGGAGACTATCGGTGATACGGCTCAACGGTGCAGATGCATCCACTCCTTGTGACTTATAATACCCAATGAAACTATATTGTTCTTCGTTATTACTATTCCTTTTGTCTCATATCCCTGTCTATTGTCTCTATTATACATTTCTTCTACTTTCTTTGTGTGCTACATGGAGTGTGGCGACTTGAACGGGTGCACATCGGTGCAAAGTTCTATGTTGAAGACAGACAAGATATTACTTTTGGATGCGAATCACATCTCAGACCAAAATTTCATGGACTATATTCATGTTCTTCCAAACTAAATTGTCTTTTAACTTAGCCTTATTATTAACTAGGACTACTTGTTTAGCATGTGTAGAACATCTACCTACTTGGGGATTTGAAAGTATACAACCACATAGACTAACTTACCTTTTTTAAACTTGAACATCTCAAGAACGACAAGTGTGTCCGGATAATATAAGGTCACTTTCTATTACTTTGCGCATAAGTTTGCAGCATTCTTCATTCAACATTTGATTCTGACGGTCACTGGTTAAGTCGAGTTGTTTAGCTGAAGGTACGTGGTCAAGCATCCATGACATTTGGTATGCCGTCATTTTACTTTCGTGGCTGAACCCTAGCTAGTTAAGCAACCACCACCATCACTCTGGCTTTTCCGATCCTGAAATATATCTTGTACTTTTGACGATCAATTTGTTGTTTTTACTTATCTTTGGTCTAAGCAGAGCAAAAGTACCTTGGGAGTTGTAGGATAAACACTTGCATATACATATAACATGTCTTGCGTAGTCATTAACATCCTCCAATCTTCTAGAAAACTTTCCGTCAACTCTTGTTTCACACCATTTCACCAAATGGTGTCCCGAAACAACATGCATTTCCTAAAACCTTAAACAGTGTTGAACTCCCTTTCAGAAAACAGGGTAAAATTAGGTAACAACAAGAAGTAAGAAGTTTGTAAGAGCCTAAAGTATACGGTATTTACATAAAATTAAGGTGAAATTCAATGGACCTAGGTTGTGCATCTTGACTGCATTGAAAAATTTCAGGCTGTCTAGTATCATTTAACTACATTTGGTTTTTGTCTGAACAACTGTTCTTAAAGTGACCAAAAGTTGAATTATGGTATATTAACTAAGCTTTCAGAATCTATTAACCGTTCCTGACTCGTGTTAATGTCTAAGGAAGTTCAGCACACTTCATTGAAATTTCAATTGTTAGATTTCATGCCAAACCAACGTCAGTTGGAGAGATTGTTGAGAACTAGGGAGCACTGGACAGTTGTTTCGTCCCATGGTGAGCTACTGGATGCATGTCCTGAAGCTGTATCGAAAAGTCGTGACCAGCGGCGTCCACCATGAAGCCGACGCTCACCGAAGGCATTGATGAGGATAGTGCTGTGTCACGAACTGACAAGTTAGAATTCACGGACCACTGAATTCCCACTCCAATGGCTGAATAGTCAACGAGAATGGTATCGTAACCAGTAGGTCCTGGGTTTGATCCCCGTTGGTGTAGTGACTTTACAACGCTGAAGAGTCTCAGCATGGGACAAAACAACTGTCCAGTGCTTCCCGGTTTTCAGTAATCCCTCTAACTGATATTTCCTGACGAAATCTAACAAAAGAAATTAAATTAATCTAAATCAACCCAATCTAGGCTTTAGATTGTCTTGAAATTTCGTTGACATTTTCACTATACCATGTCAAGTAAATGAACAGTTGTCCTGTATTGGTGAAAATTCCTAGTA